TTGAGACAGTAGACTAGGTTATAAAGACACCAGTGTTTGTGTAGATGGGTGCTTGTCTTTGAGACAGTAGACTAGGTTATAAAGACACCAGTGATTGTGTAGATGGGTGCTTGTCTTTGAGAGAGTAGACTAGGTTATAAAGACACCAGTGATTGTGTAGATGGGTGCTTGTCTTTGAGACAGTAGACTAGGTTATAGAGACACCAGTGTTTGTGTAGATGGGTGCGTGTCTTTGAGAGAGTAGACTAAGACAGTAACATTATTACATAACATCAGAAAGGCTGACAGTTGATGTGCTGTGTTTGGTGACTGTCCCCCAGATACGTAAGCCCTGTATTCATTCTCTTTTTAATCAGGCAAGGAGAATTTCCCCTGATAAAATGTTTTATTGTATTTGTAATGTAAGTTGATCCGGTGGGGACAGAGAATCAATGTTATCCAGTATTGATTCTAGAGTCCTGTCGAACAAATGACTCCCTATTGAAAACTTCATTGATTTCTGATGCAGGCTTTGTTGGCAAGTGAGCGGTTACCATGGTGATGTGATGAATGGCAATCAATTATTGACAGCTGTTGCCGTGCCGATGCATCAGTCGATCCGGCAGATCAATAATATCCGCTGAATGCCATAGATTACGAGGATTATTTTTAATTGATTTTTATTTTTTGTGCATTATCTATAAACCATGGTAAAGAGTAATGTCAAATTTATTAACTGTTAAACTGTAAGATATAAGTAGTAAAATTCTATTGTTTTAGATTAATAGATCTAGGCTTATTAACTGTTAGTTTAATTGATTATCGTTCTGAAAAGGCAATAACTAAAATATTTTTAGCCTTTGGTTCTATCTGTAGAGTTGATGATCATCTTCATATCTCCACAGATCTCAGTCCATTAAGCTGTATATCTATAGCAGTATAAGTCAACCCGCGTACAAATTCTGAACATAAGGGAGTTTTTTATATCAGTATTGTCTTGATTGGCTGAGAACATTTAAAAACCCATTTTCCAGTTGCAATATATTATGTAAGAATGAAGCGACTCGCTATAGATTATACCACTGAGTTCACACAGGGTGACACTGTCGTTGAGCCTGCGGCGGCGACGACGACGGCGACAGAGGTGGTGATCCCACAGGCCTGTACCATTCACCAAAGTGCATTTTTTACAGCCGTAAAATGAAATTAGGGGTTTTGGACGGGTTTTGTCTGGGGACTCTGTACCGACAAAAGTCAAAATGGCGGCAGTCTAACTAATATATGGCTTGTCAGCATCACAGAGTATGTCTCACACATACACTACTATGTGTGTCTTAACCTCACTGATCACTGACACGTGTGTCACACATATGCTACTGTGTGTACATAACATCACTGATCACTGACACGTGTGTCACACATACACTACTGTGTGTACATAACATCACTGACACGTGTGTCATACATACACGANTCACACATACACAACTGTGTGTACATAACATCACTGATCACTGACACGTGTGTCACACATATGCTACTGTGTGTACATAACATCACTGATCCCTGACTCGTGTGTCACACATACACTACTGTGTGTACATAAAATCACTGACACGTGTGTCACACATACACTACTGTGTGTACATGACATCACTGATCACTGACACTTGTGTCACACATACACTACTGTGTGTACATAACATCACTGATCACTGACACTTGTGTCACACATATGCTACTGTGTGTACATAACATCACTGACACGTGCGTCACACATACACGACTATGTGTACATAACATCACTGACACGTGTGTCACACATACACTACTGTGTGTACATAACATCACTGACATGTGTGTCACACATACACTACTGTGTGTACATGACATCACTGATCACTGACACTTGTGTCACACATACACTACTGTGTGGACATAACATCACTGACACGTGTGTCATACATACACGACTGTGTGTACATAACATCACTGACACGTGTGTCACACATACACGACTATGTGTACATAACATCACTGACACATGTGTCACACATACACTACTGTGTGTACATAACATCACTGACAAGTGTGTCACACATACACTACTGTGTGTACATAACATCACTGACACGTGTGTCACACATACACTACTGTGTGTACATAACATCACTGACACGTGTGTCACACATACACTACTGTGTGTACATAACATCACTGATCACAGACATGTGTGACATACATATGCTACTGTGTGTACATAACATCACTGACATGTGTGTCACACATACACTACTGTGTGTACATAACATCACTGACAAATGTGTCACACATACACTACTGTGTGTACATAACATCACTGATCACTGACACGTGTGTTACACATACAACAATTAAGAAGAAGCTAAGGTAGGGAAGGGGAAATAATTAAACAAAAGGTAGAAGTTTTAAATGTATTATACCTTTGTTTACAGGTGTCTAAGCTGGAGAAGTTTTAAATGTGTTATACCTTGTTTACAGGTGTCTAACCTGGAGAAGTTTTAAATGTATTATACCTTTGTTTACAGGTGTCTAACCTGGAGAAGTTTTAAATGTATTATACTTTTGTTTACAGGTGTCTAAGCTGGAGGAAGAACTAACTCTAAAAAATGAGGCATTCAGAGTGATGGAGGAAAAGATGCGGTCACAGGGAGACTATGAGGAGGTGAAACGTGAACTTGTGTACGTATGACCTTATACTCAATCACCCATACTCTTAATCCACCCTTACTCCTCCGTTCCCTCCTCCCTTTTCCTCCCTTTCTTACCCCTCCTCCCTCCCCTCCCCTCCCCCTTTCTTATCCCTCCTCCCTTGCCCTACCCTTCCCCCTCCTCCTTCCCCTTCCTTTCTTACCTACCCATATATTTCCTCTCCCTTTTCCTACCCCTCCCTCCTCCCTTTCTTCCCCCTTCCCCTCCTTTTCTTACCTACCCCTTTATTCCCTCTCCTATTTCCTACCCCTCCCTCCCCTTCCTTTCTACTCCTACCTCTCCCCTTCCCCCTTTTCCCTAGCCCCAACCCTAACCTTAACCCTTACCCAATATCATAGTTATAGACTTACCAGTGGTCAGCGATGAAGAGCTGGACAGCTTGTTTTAAATAACAATAACCTTGGAGGGACAAAATGACCTCAAATTAAGTCACTGATACTGTTTGTATGTAAAAATTAACATCCGTTTAACTTAATCACCCTTGAATGGCTGAAATGACCTTGAATGGCTGAAGTGACCTTGACTTATAATACCATTTCCATTAACCTTTCAGCGTGCTCAAATCCATCGAGTTTTCCCAAAGGACTGAAGAATCCGGAGATGATAACAAATCCAAGTCTCTGGAGATGCTACTTTTGGAGAAAAACAAGAGTCTCCAGTCGGAAAACACTACAGTGAAAGTGGCCAAGAGCGAGATGTCAGGTTTGTTACCTCCCTTTACTAGACGTGGGACCACAGACAACACATGTGCCATTCCTATTGATGTTAAACATAGCTACATCGCAATTGTTCTCACTTCACTTTGTCAAAGTCTGAAAAATAAGGTTGATTTTGAAGTTTGAATATAACTTCTGGTAAAAGTCGATGTAGGGCAGACTTTGTTAATATGAATGATTTGAGACAATGATAAAGCAATTAATATCAAACCTGTCCTAACATGTAAGAATCGATGGAAAAAATAATTTTAATTTTATTGATTGTTTGATTGGAGATAATGAGGAGTGTCTTGTATTTACACTGAAGTTATAACAGTTCTCAAGTGCATTACTAAAATTGTTAACAATTGTTCATGGAAGGGAAGGAAAATGTGATAGAAGACACATATAGAATGGCATGTGTGTGTTCTGTGTTGATAATAGGTTGGATCTAGGATATCATTTCTCTTTCACTTTTCATTTAACCTTAATAATGGAAATAAATGGAGGGGAACATCTATAAATGGCGTGTGTGTATTCCGTGGTACTAATTTAGATCGGAGATATTACATCACCATCACATTTTCACTCACTATTTCTCCACTAATAAAGCCATACTGAAGTTGTTTACTAACATTTTGTTTATAACACCTGTGAGCACAGTTTCATTTCCTATCCTTCGCTCCAGCCCTTATCCTTCAGGCCTCATTTAAGGGACCCTTCATTTTAATCACAATGGAGGTTCTCTCTCTTGAGCCTAAATATAGATTCCCTTTGTCGTTTCTCAATGGAAATTCCCTCACTTGGCTTCCATAGGAATTCCTCTGTTGAGCGTCATTGGGCGTTCTTTCTGTTGGACCTTTTGGGGATCGCCTTCTTTGTGGCCTCAATGGAAATTTCCTCTCTTGGGCTGCAATGGAATAATCCATCCCCTTGAGGCTTAATGGAATGTTCTCGGGAGAAAAAAGCATGCTCTATCTCTCAAGCTTCCTCTCTTTTAATGGAGCCCCTGGGCACTAGTCCCTCTTTTGAGCCCCGATGGAGTTGTTGCTTTAGCTCTAACAGAGGTGTCAATCGAGGCATCCCTCCCCGTGTCATACTAGAGTGGCCCCTAATAAGGGCCCTCGTAATATCTCGTGCCTAATTAAGAAAGGTGTTGAGTGTCATGAAAGGCATTTGATAATGACAATATGATTTGAGAACAAACCAAAAAACAGGACAGAAAATCAGCTGAAAATCAATGTTTTGGCAATAGCAGAGACAAACAAAGGAGGAAACCCCCAAATAACTGCATTAAGGCATTAATATGCTGGCTGACTGCATGGTGTAGATTTGTATTCTCCCTTCTAACAAGGCTACCTGACATGGCTTTCATGTACATCTCTCACCTTCCTTACAGGCGATTCAACCCCCGCTCTCTCCGAAAATGCCGAAGCATTCGCGTCAATGTTGGGCGAAGAAATTGCAGCAACATACCAGCAGCAGCAAAGGGAACAACAACAACAACAACAGCGGGAGCAGTCGCAGCAACATCAGGATGTGTCCCGGATTTCAACCCCCTCCACGCCCTCCAGTGGTAGTGGGGGTGGGGTCGAGTCAGACAAATCCTCACCAAAACGAACATTTGAACGAGTACCCAGCATTCCTAGTTCTGATGTGTCACAAATTCCTCCGCCATCGCCACAGTTCTTCCCTTTTGGAAATGGACCTTTAATATCAAACTATGTGGGGCTAGGCGGTGTGGTGAAGCAAGAGTCCAGTAACTCCCAGGGCCTTGATACGGCCCTCGTGGCAAAGACAATACGGGAACTTTTGAGTATACACAATATTGGTCAGCGCCTGTTCGCTAAACATGTGTTAGGCCTTTCACAGGGTACGGTCAGCGAACTGCTGTCCAAACCCAAGTCTTGGGACAAACTGACAGAGAAGGGGCGAGAATCATACCGGAAGATGTACCAGTGGGCCACTGACGATCGCAACATTCTAAGCCTCAAGGCTATATCACCAAAGAAAAGTGAGTCCTTTTCTTTTCTGCATGTTACTGTTCAAGATTTTATTACTTGTCCATTTTAACTCCTTTAAACAGCAACATTTCGAAGTCTTTTCAGGTCAGGAAAAAAAGAAAAAAGATCCTCTTATATTTCATGAACTAATTTAAGGCTAGTTGATTAGAATTTTTAAAGCTGATACATGCCATCCCATTTTTTGCTCAGTTTAAACCTAGGGTCTATATCTGTCTTATCTTTGTATCAAGTCAGCTGCATACTGTATACAATCTCTATCAATAAATATTGATGTTATGATTTGAGCTTGATGGTTCTGATAACTTACGGGTTAGCGTTACCTGATAATTCACACCACTAGTTCAATAGATTTGTTCCTATGTAAATTGTAAGAGAACATGAAGGAAACCTTACCAGCATGAAATAGAAAAAGTCGTTGTGATATAAAATCCTCCTAGTGCAATAGATGTACGGTAAGGCTGTAGGAAATGGTAACACGTAATAGATTTCTGTATTTTTAGCCATTATTGGAAAGAAATACTATTACCAGTGAAGTGATATTGTGATAACTTACACAAAACAAAAGGACTAGTTAGCTCAGGTGAATCACTAGTATCGCACTAGCAGACCAGTATTTTCAGATGCGATATATACAGTTCCACTGTTACCGCTTAAATTTTTAAAATAAGCTTTTGTTTATTATGCAAGGCCTCACCAAATTCATCTCTGGTTCTCCTCACTCTCTTGCTATGAAACTTTCTTCCTATTTTATTTTAATTGGAACCATGCCCAGTTTTCAGGAAAGAGAAAGTATTGCTGAAAATCAGTAAATTACAAATGGAGAACATCATTTTGCCAGAATCCCCCCAGAACAGGGAATGCGTTTGGTGTGGCCTATGTTGTATAAAACACTGATCCACTGCCAAGTTTACTGCCCGCTGTTTGCTGCCTCTCCAAACAATTTAATAGTCATGTGACATTTCTGAATCACGTGTAGCATTTGAAGGTGCCATGTGACATTTCAAGGTCACATGATACCTTCGAAGGTCAATTGTGAGACTTCAAGGTCACATGTTGCCATGGTGATGGGTAACATAACTACTAATGTGCCTTGTTACCATGACGATGATTTCTCTTGCAGCAAACAAGGCAGCAACAGCGGCAGTCACCGCGGTAACTGGTGGCAGTGGTGGGATGTCATCATCTGTGTTTAACTCTCTGCTCCCCGTAATGTTCACAGGCTCGCAGCACCTTGTGCCTAGCGTGCAGCATGATGACTCGCACACCGAGGAACGCATTGCTCAAATCCTTAATGATGCTCAAAAAGCTATGCATATGAAAAAAGCCATGGAACAGGTAAGACTAAGAGACCACCACAATGTTGGTCACAGTAAAATAATGTCGGTCAAGTTAAGATTAATGTACAGCAAGTTAATGTAGTTCACAGGTCACAGTGTCAATCCTGATTTTAAATTCCAGGTAATATTGCTTGGTCTGCAAGTTTGGTTGAAACAACAGATCATCACTGATCCAATCAAGACTGAAGTTTAATCCAATGTTATCTGTCCATGTATATCATGCTTAATAACTATTAAAGATCAAGATTTAGTGGTATCTAGAGCTCTATGTGCAGCTTTAATTAACATACTCCTTGACAAACATTGGTATTTATTTCCGTTTCAGCACCAGGTGGCATCGGCCATGGCTAGTAGCATATACCAGCAGGAGATGACACGACTTGCCCAAGTTTCTGACCACCAGGTGGCACTACGCAGTCCGAACTCTGTGTCCTCATCCAATCATGCACATCACACATCTCACTCACGGAAATACAGTATGGATGGAGAGCGACATAGAGACAGTGTGGAAAACTCTGTGTCCTCCAAAGAAATGGTTGAACGCATCTACAGACAAGAACTCCTCAAGCTGGCGAAAGCCGCTGAAAGTGCAGGAAACCTTGCTGCCAGCTCCATGTACCAGCAGGAGCTAGCACGCCTTGCTGTAAATGTGCAGAAGGAGGACCAGGAGCCTGGTGAGATACGTCGCTCACACAGTTCGCCAGAGAACATGACAGTAAAGACCGAGCCTCCAGATAGTACCTCAGATGATTTGGGGGCGGCACAGTTTAACGGTTTCCAGTCTAATGGGCCCATCGACCTGAGTAAGCATAGCAACTCGGCACCAACAACCCCCACCTCTGGCAGCTCCGACAAGTCGCCCTCTGACCCTATTCATCATGCAGGAAGTGCCTTTTTTTTAGTTAGACCGAAGATGAATGGTCACGAGAACGGCTACGACAAACCTCGCTTTGGATCCTACGCCCCAGCAGAGTGTATATCGCCACTACAACGCATGCAAAGCATTGCCAACTCTGTGATGTCACGACCCCATGTGGGCGTGTCCTCTAACAAACCCCTGAGGGCAGTGCTGCCCCCTATTACACAAGAACAGTTTGACAAGTACGGCACCATTGGCACAGAGGAGCTGGTTAAACAGGTTAAAGAAACATTAAGTCAGTATTCGATCAGTCAGCGCCTGTTTGGGGAGAGTGTTCTAGGCCTATCCCAGGGCTCTGTCAGCGATCTCCTTGCACGCCCCAAACCCTGGCACATGCTCACACAAAAAGGGAGAGAACCCTTCATTAGAATGCAGATCTTTCTAGAGGACGGTGAGGCTATCCCCAAACTGGTGGCATCGCAGTATCACATCCCGCCAGAGAAACTGATGAGATCGGCCATTGTCCGTGTACCAGGAGAACAATGTAGGTGATCTGATGAAATGCTGTTGGAATTTTTATCAATCATTTTGTTATGTTATTTTAACGAGATAATTCTTTATTAATTCTCAAGATAAGTCAGTGATGTTGAGATATTATAATATTAGATCAGCTTTTGCTGTCAATAATGATTCAATTTTATTAACTCGCAGATTTTTTTCCAACAATGATTAAAAAACTATGTAAGCATTGTTGTACCTGAATGCTAGTAACAAGGACAATTAGCTTGGAGGAGGAATCTGTGGTCAAGCCGTGTGGTCATCTTGACTGCCTTGGGGTCAACATTTGCTTGCCTCATCCATCATTTGTATTTCAATTCACTTTCCATTAAAACTGGCCAGCCTGGACACGTGTAGGCTGATAGAACAACCGAGCCTCCTGGGTCAAAGTAACATAGTGGTTGCCATGTAAATCAGATTAGATGAATGCACCTGGATTGGCAGGATTCGATCATTTTTAGTTGGGTGAAATACAAGCGATGGAGGTTGACATTTCCTCTTCCAAGTGTTACTAGACGTACTGCTCTTGTAAGCATCTAACCAGCATGATGCTAACTCAGCAAGCCAATTTACTGTGGACTCCAGGGCAATGCCTAGAGGAAGCGATCGGTAGCCAGGGGAAGGGGTCTCGTAATCAACAGGTACAGGCTTCATCTGTTGAGAGGGCTGTACGTTCAAGGTTTCATAGCAGTGAACAGACTTAGACTTTGTAAGATGCAGAAAAGTTCAGAAGTTGGTGCAAAAGTTCAGGAAGTGCTTATAGTATAGTTATACTATTGCAGACCTTTCTATATAAATCTTGCAGGTGTTGACAAAAAGTTGTAAAATCAGTTTGTTTGACTGTAACAAGGGAGATTGTCGTATATATGTTGGATATCTTTACACTGGGAACCTAAGTTGTATCTGTCTAGCTTTTCCGCATGGATGTATCTTACAGAAAAAAGGTCAGTTTATTGATTGAGAAGGAGGCTAATTATGGAGTGGGATGGGAGATAACTCTACTGAGATTGTTATTGGGAAGGAGGCTTATTGTGGAGTGGAAAGGGAGATAACTATGCTGATATTGTAATTGGGAAGGAGGCTAATTGTGTAGTGGGAAGGAAAGTAACTCTGCTGATATTGTAATTAGTGAGGAGGCTGTGGAGTGGGAAGGGAGATAACTATGCTGATATTGTAATTGGGAAGGAGGCTAATTGTGGAGTGGGAAGGAAAGTAACTCTGCTGATATTGTAATTAGTAAGGAGGCTAGCTAGTGGGAAGGGAGATAACTCTGCTGATATTGTAATTAGTAAGGAGGCTAGCTGGTGGGAAGGGAGATAACTCTGCTGATATCTTAATTAGTAAGGAGGCTAGCTAGTAGGAAGGGAGGTAATTCTATATTTAGTCTATGTATCTCCTGCTGATATAATTTGGAAAGTCCTAACAGCTTTGTTAATGTCTAAGAATCTCTGATGTCATACCGCGGCCAATAAACAGCGTGTACCAACAGATACATGCCTCTAATCCAGTATATATCTATAACGATGTGCATGTCTTATTAAACAAAAATGCATTTCTATCTTATGTATATATACATATTTATCCACATATCGTAACAAGATGGAGGATGGATGCATGGCAGAAGGCGCCCTTAACCCCCGGCCTATATATATATATACTCCTGTATGCCCCGTATCCCTCCTGAATGCTGACCTATACTAATACATGTATTCAAAGTCGCGCTCCCACACATCATGCTTAAAACACTCACATTTATACACAGTCACATTTATACACAGTCACATTTATACACAGTCACATTTATACACATTTACATTTATACACAGTCACATTTACATTTATACACAGTCACATTTACATTTATACACAGTCACATCTATACACAGTCACATTTATACACATTTACATTTATACACAGTCACATTTACATTTATACACATTTACATTTATACACAGTCACATTTACATTTATACACAGTCACATTTACATTTATACACAGTCATATTTATACACAGTCATATTTCCAGGATCTACTATCATATACACCACAACAAATCATGTTTGTAACAGTTATCATCATATTTACAGTAGATAACAAGTCAAATTTGCAATAAAAATCCTAATTCAATCACATTTGTAACAAATCATGCTTACTGCTAGAATCATAATTTTAAGTCATGCTTACAGCCAAATAACACTTACAGGAATAATAATTTTACAAAACATATTGTAAAATTGATATTTTAAATCTAACTAAAGTAAAATAATACTATAAATCATATTTACAGTAAAATAATATCATAAATCCTGTTGAGTTCTATGTCAGTACTTTTAATACTTCCACCAATAACCAGTTTGTCTGGTCACACTATAGGATTAGCTGTAAATCTGTCTGACTGGTCACACTATAGGATTAGCTGTAAATCAGATTGACTGGTCACACTATAGGATTAGCTGTAAATCTGTCTGACTGGTCACACTATAAGATTAGGTTTAATCTGTCTGACTGGTCACACTATAGGATTAGTTGTCAATCTGTCTGACTGGTCACACTATAAGATTAGCTGTAAATCTGTCTGACTGGTCACATTATAGGATTAGCTTTAAATCAGTCTTGACTGGTCACACTATAGGATTAGCTGTAAACCAGTTTGACTGGTCACACTATAGGATTATCTGTAAATCAGATTGACTGGTCACACTATAGGATTAGTTGTAAATCTGTCTGACTGGTCACATTATAGGATTAGCTGTTAATCTGTCTGACTGGTCACACTATAGGATAAGCTGTAAATCAGTCTGACTGGTCACACTATAGGATAAGCTGTAAATCAGTCTTGACTGGTCACACTATAGGATTAGCTGTAAATCAGATTGACTGGTCACACTATATGATTAGCTGTAAATCAGTGTCACTGGTCACATTATAGGATTAGCTGTTAATCAGTCTGACTGGTCACATTATAGGATTAGCTGTTAATCTGTCTGACTGGTCACACTATAGGATTAGCTGTAAATCAGTCTGACTGGTCACACTATAGGATTAGCTGTAAATCAGTCTTGACTGGTCACACTATAGGATTAGCTGTAAATCAGATTGACTGGTCACACTATATGATTAGCTGTAAATCAGTGTCACTGGTCACATTATAGGATTAGCTGTTAATCAGTCTGACTGGTCACATTATAGGATTAGCTGTTAATCTGTCTGACTGGTCACACTATAGGATTAGCTGTAAATCAGTCTGACTGGTCACACTATAGGATTAGCTGTAAACCAGATTGACTGGTCACACTATAGGATTAGCTGTAAATCTGTCTGACTGGTCACACTATGAGATTAGGTTTAATCTGTCTGACTGGTCACATTATAGGATTAGCTGTAAATCAGTCTGACTGGTCCCACTATAGGATTAGCTATAAATCAGTCTGACTGGTCACACTATAGGATTAGCTGTTAATCAGTCTGACGGGTCACATTATAGGATTAGCTGTAAATCAGTCTGACTGGTCACATTATAGGATTAGCTGTAGATCAGTCTGACTGGTCACACTATAGGATTAGCTGTAAATGAGTGTCACTGGTCACTCTATAGGATTAGCTGTTAATCAGTCTGACTGGTCACATTATAGGATTAGCTGGTAATCTGTCTGACTGGTCACACTATAGGATTAGCTATAAATCAGTCAGACTGGTCACACTATAGGATTAGCTGTAAATCTGTCTCACTGGTCACACTATAGGATTAGCTGTAAATCAGTCTGACCGGTCACACTATAGGATTAGCTGTAAATCAGTGTCACTGGTCACTCTATAGGATTAGCTGTTCATCAGTCTGACTGGTCACATTATAAGATTAGCTATAAATCAGATTGACTGGTCACACTATATGATTAGCTGTAAATCAGTCTGACTGGTCACACTATAGGATTAGCTGTAAATCAGTGTCACTGGTCACTCTATAGGATTAGCTGTTCATCAGTCTGACTGGTCACATTATAAGATTAGCTATAAATCAGATTGACTGGTCACACTATATGATTAGCTGTAAATCAGTCTGACTGGTCACACTATAGGATTAGCTGTAAATCAGTGTCACTGGTCACTCTATAGGATTAGCTGTTCATCAGTCTGACTGGTCACATTATAAGATTAGCTATAAATCAGATTGACTGGTCACACTATATGATTAGCTGTAAATCAGTCTGACTGGTCACACTATAGGATTAGCTGTAAATGAGTGTCACTGGTCACTCTATAGGATTAGCTGTTAATCAGTCTGACTGGTCACATTATAGGATTAGCTGTTAATCAGTCTGACTGGTCACATTATAGGATTAGCTGTTAATCAGTCTGACTGGTCACATTATAGGATTAGCTGTAAATCAGTCTGACTGGTCACACTATAGGATTAGCTGTAAATCAGTGTCACTGGTCACACTATAGGATTAGCTGTTAATCAGTCTGACTGGTCACATTATAGGATTAGCTGTTAATCAGTCTGACTGGTCACATTATAGGATTAGCTGTTAATCAGTCTGACTGGTCACATTATAGGATTAGCTGTAGATCAGTCTGACTGGTCACATTATAGGATTAGCTGTAAATGAGTGTCACTGGTCACATTATAGGATTAGCTGTAAATCAGTCTGACTGGTCACATTATAGGATTAGCTGTTAATCAGTCTCACTGGTCACACTATAGGATTAGCTATAAATCAGTCTGACTGGTCACGCTATAGGATTAGCTGTAAATCAGCCTTTCTGGTCACATTATAGGATTAGCTATAAATCAGTCTGACTGGTCACACTATAGGATTAGCTGTAATTCAGTCTGACTGGTCACACTATAGGATTAGCTGTAAATCAGTCTGACTGGTCACACTATAGGATTAGCTGTAATTCAGTCTGACTGGTCACATTATAGGATTAGCTGTTACGTTATTGATCAGCTGTGTCATAAAGTTAGAAAATGTTAATTTGATCAGTTTCCTCTTCTTTTTTATTGATAGTTCGATTGTGTCACCTTATTTCAAGATCAGACAAGTAATTAATAAATGTTATACATATTAGTACCATACAACCAACCAAAAATAGATTAGGTTAAGGGTTAGGGGTCAGGTCAACTTAGAGCTTTAAGAATCCCCATACCACTACCAAAAAATTCAACTCTGCATCAGAAACTGTTTCTTTCTGGCATGACAATAGCTTTGATAAATCATTTCTGATAGGAAAACCAAAATTCTGAAATGCAGGACTTTAATCGGAAACAATTCAAATAAAATAAACAAAAAATGATCAAGAGCTTTGTCCCGAGTTTAAAAATTCAGACTTTGCTGCGTGGCAGTAATTTCCATTCATAGAAAAGTACATTTTAGTTGCAGTTTAGAAAGTTGAAAATTGAATGGAACTAACATTATAATTCTTTCTCGGATGGTTTCGGTTTAGGCATGCTAATATTCATGTAAAATATAAAAAAACATTTATCAGCTGCATTGTTTTTTGGATGAATTTGAAAGAAAGTAAATCTTGTTATCTATGAAAACCTGTAATGGCTAAATTCAGAAAATTTAAACAATGTTCTCTGTAATGCCTGGAAAATTGCACTTAAAAAAAGCATTTAAGTTGGTCTGAAGCTTGGTTTGGATGACCAGTTTCTCATAACAGAGCGCCTTAGGTTTGAACTAACCAATGTAACGCTTCCTACTGATCGGCCATATCAACCTATATACCAAGTGATTGTGTCACTAACATTTAACCCCGTGTGTCAGAACAGTCCTACTAATCCCTGTAATAACTCGTGTGTACCAACCAATCCACACGGTCCTACCTTGAGTTTTTTGTTTCTCCTTCACGCCAGTGTCGCCCCTGGAAAAGTCGACCCCTGTAGCTGTCGCGAGCACCCAAGTACCTCCCGACCATCCCCTTCACCATCTCCATCACCGTCAACAGATCCTCCCACAGCACAGTACCCCTGCCCAAATCCTCGGGCAACACTACAACTGGGCTTCCTTCTCCTATCCATCCTCCATGTTGGAAGTTGTGGCCATGACCTCAGAGATTGACACCTTGGAATTGACATCTAGGGTCAAGGATGTTCTCCAGTTTCACAATCTTGGCCAGAAGCTGTTTGGAGAGGCTGTGCTTGGGCTTTCGCAGGGCTCAGTTAGTGAGCTCCTGTCTAAGCCCAAACCCTGGCATATGCTCAGTATCAAAGGGCGTGAGCCCTTCATAAAAATGCACCTATGGTTGAGCGATCCGCACAATGTAGATCGCCTCAAGCACTACCAGAACGAAATCAAAGGTACTTCATTCTCACTACACTTCAAAAACGCCTTTTAAATCTGGGAAATATTGGGAATAATGTGTTCAGTAGAGCGTTTTCATATTAACTTAGAAAAAAAAAATCATTTCATTGCAAAATTTTGAAAAAAAATCCATCAGTTTTTGAAAAACAATCTTAAATATGAAACCAGAAATATAATCAGGATTGGTAGGTAAGACTAAGTCACTGGGGCCTGGTTTCAGGAGATATTGTTGATGAGAACAGAGCTGACTTATTCACAGGGGCCAAGTATCAGGGCTAGTTATTGATGTAGGACAGAGCTGTCTTAGTCACAGAGGCCTGGTATCAGGACATTTTATTAATGTAGGACAGAGCTGTCCTAGTCACAGAGGCCTGGTATCAGGACATGGTATTGATGTAGGACAGAGCTGTCTTAGTCACAGGGGCCTGGTACCAGGACATTTTATTGACGAGGACAGAACTGTTTTATTCACATGGACTTGGTATCAGGACTTGTTATTGATGTAGGACAGAGCTGACTCAATCACAGGGGCCTGGTATCAGGGCAGGTTTTTGATGTAGGACAGAGCTGATTTAGTCACAGGGGCCTGGTATCAGGACATTTTATTGACGAGGACAGAACTGTTTTATTCACATGGACTTGGTATATGTGTAGGACAGAGCTGACTAAGTCACAGGGGCCTGGTATCAGGACATTTTATTGATGAGGACAGAACTGTTTTATTCACATGGACCTGGTATTAGGACTTGTTATTGATGTAGGACAGAGCTGACTTAGTCACAGAGGCCTGGTATCAGGACATGGTATCATGACATTTCATTGATAAGGACACAGGGGCCTTGTATCAGAGCTAGTTATTGATGTAGGACAGAGCTGACTTAGTCACAGGGATCTGGTATTAGGACTTGTTATTGATGTAGGACAGAGCTGACTTAGACACAGGGACCTGGCATCAGGACATTTTATTGATGTAGGACATAGCTGTCTTAGTCACAGGGGCCTGGTATCAGGACATGGTATTGGTGTAGGAAAGAGCTGACTAAGGCACAGGGACCTGGTATCATGACATGTTATTGATAAGGACACAGGGGCCTTGTATCAGAGCTAGTAATTGATGTAGGACAGAGCTGACTTAGTCACAGGGATCTTGTATTAGGACTTGTTATTGATGTAGGACAGAGCTGACTTAGCCACAGGGGCCTGGTATCAGGACATTTTATTGATGTAGGACAGAGCTGACTTAGCCACAGGGGCTTGGTATCAGGACATGGTATTGATGTAGGACAGAGCTGACTTAGACACAGGGACCTGGTATCAGGACATTTTATTGATGTAGGACATAGCTGTCTTAGTCACAGGGGCCTGGTATCAGCGCATGTTAATAATTTAGGCCAGCGCTGACGTAGTCACAGGGGCCTGGAATCAGGGCAGGTTTTTGATGTAGGACAGAGATGACTTAGTCACCTGGGCCTGGTATCAGGATATGATATTGATCAGGACAGAGGTGACTTAGTCACAGGGGCTTGGTATTAGGACATGTTATTGATGTAGGACAGAGCTGACTTAATCAGAGGGACCTGGTATCAGGACATGACATTGGTGTAGGACAGAGCTGACTTAGCCACAGGTGCCTTGTATCAGGACATGATATTGATGTACGACAGAGCTGTCTTAGTCACATGGGCCTGGTATCAGGATATCATATTGATCAGGACAGAGCTGACTTGGTCACAGGGGCTTGGTATCAGGACATGGTATTGATGTAGAACAGAGCTGACTTAATCACAGGGACCTGGTATCAGGACATGACATTGGTGTAGGACAGAGCTGACTTAGCCACAGGGGCCTGGTATCAGGGCATTTTATTGATGTAGGACAGAGCTGTCTTAGTCACTGAGGCCTGGTATCAGGGCATGTTAATATTCTAGGACAGAGCTGACTTAGTCACAGAGGCCTGGTATCAGGACATGGTATTGATGTAGGACAGAGCTGTCTTAGTCACAGGGACCTGGTATCAGGACATGACATTTGTGTAGGAAAGAGCTGACTAAGTCACAGGGACCTGGTATCAGGACTTGATATTGATGTAGGACAGAGCTGACTTAGTCACAGGGGCCAGGTATAAGGACTTGTTATTGATGTAGGACAGAGCTGACTTAGCCACAGGGGCCTTGTATCAGGACATGATATTGATGTAGGACAGAGCTGTCTTAGTCACTGAGGCCTGGTATCAGGGCATGTTAATAATCGAGGACAGAGCTGACGTAGTCACAGGGACCTGGAATCAGGGCAGGTTTTTGATGTAGGACAGAGCTGACATGGGCCTGGTATCAGGATATGATATTGATCAGGACAGAGCTGTGTGTTTATGAAATGACAACAGTTTGTGATACAGGACAGTACTGTGTGTTTATGAGATGACATCAGTATGTGATACAGGACAGTAATCTGTGTTTATGAGATGACATCAGTTTGTGATACAGGACAGTACTGTGTGTTTATGAGGTGACATCAGTTTGTGATACAGGACAGTACTGTGTGTTTCTGGGGTGACATCAGTTTGTGATACAGGACGGTACTGTGTGTTTATGAGATGACATCAGTTTGTGAAACAGGACAGTACTGTTTGTTTCTGAGGTGACATCAGTTTGTGATACAGGACAGTACTGTGTGTTTATGAGATGACATCAGTATGTGATACAGGACAGGACTGTGATTTTATGAGATGACATCAGTTTGTGATACAGGACGGTACTGTGTGTTTATGAGATGACATCAGTATGTGATACAGGACAGGACTGTGATTTTATGAGATGACATCAGTTTGTGATACAGGACAGTACTGTGAGTTTATGAGATGACATCAGTTTGTGATACAGGACAGTACTGTGTGTTTCTGAGGTGACATCAGTATGTGATACAGGACAGTACTGTGAGTTTATGAGATGACATCAGTTTGTGATACAGAACAGTACTGTGTGTTTATGAGATGACATCAGTTTGGGATACAGGACAGGACTGTGTGTTTATGAGATGACATCAGTATGTGATACAGGACAGGACTGTGATTTTATGAGATGACATCAGTTTGTGATACAGGACGGTACTGTGTGTTTATGAGATGACATCAGTTTGGGATACAGGACAGGACTGTGTGTTTATGAGATGACATCAGTATGTGATACAGGACAGGACTGTGATTTTATGAGATGACATCAGTTTGTGATACAGGCCAGTACTATGTGTTTATGAGATGACATCAGTTTGTGATACAGGACAGTACTGTGTGGTTATGAGATGACATCAGTTTGTGATACAGGACGGTACTGTGTGTTTATGAGATGACATCAGTATGTGATACAGGACAGTACTGTGTGTTTCCGGGGTGACATCAGTATGTGATACAGGACAGTACTGTGTGTTTATGCGATGAGATCAGTATGTCATACAGGACAGTACTGTTTGTTTCTGGGGTGACATCAGTATGTGATACAGGACAGTACTGTGATTTTATGAGATGACATCAGTTTGTGATACAGTCAGTATCTGTTACGAGGCTGGGTTCAGCTGTTGTTCTCTATCTGTTACGAGGCTGGGTTCAGCTGTAGTTCTCTATCTGTTACGAGGCTGGGTTCAGATCCACAGTAAATGTTAGTTCACAGTTCACTTTATATATAGACTTTACTCTTTGAATGATGAATGAAACCCTAGAGGGAAAAAACTCACTGCTGAATCAAAAAGTGAAAGTTTAACTGGGGGAATATTTGCCTTTGTACAGTAGTGTGTTAACTATTTCTTTCAGTTTAGTCTAACTGATTGCATTGTTTGTTTATAGCCCAGCGCCGGAGAAGAAGCAGTAGTGTGGATGATCGTTCCTACGACTCGCCGTCAGCACCCAAACGCCCTCGAGTCTTTTTCAATGAAGATCAAAAGGAAAAATTACGAATGGCATACAACCAGGACCCATACCCAAACCAGAGTACCATCGAAGGTTTGGCTAACGAACTCAATGTTGGGGTTAAGACCGTTATCAACTGGTTTCACAATCACCGCATGCGGGCCAAACAACAGCAGCATGCCGGGAACACACCAGGTCCAGCATCTGGCTCTAGCTTTAGCGACTTCTCAGGAAATATGGTAAAGTCTGAGCCAACTGACGACAACTCCGACCAGAGTGATATCTCTAGTATGTCTGGAGATGGCAACCAGTTTCAACCCAGTTTCCAGGGCAACGAAGGCTCTGGGCAGTGGTTGTTCCCACAGTTTGAGCCTGTGAACTCCAAACAACCTGGGCCTTTGGAAAGTGAAAGGGAAAATGGGGAAGAGCTAGAGGATGACCGTGTTTCTGGTGAGGCATCTCCACTATCATCCAAAGCATCGTCCCAGGGTGATGAGGGGAAGGAGGAACATGCAGGTTCAGGAGACGAGGCCCAGTACAAACAAGCAGCATTACAGGTTCTGCCCCAGGTGGGTGTCAACAAACGCAAACGCTCCAATCCCCAGTATGTGTCTGAGGGGCGGCAGCTGGACAAAACTAAAACCACAACGACAGGGGGCTATACAACGTGTCTACAAAGTAGCGTGTCGCGTGACGAGGGGGTGGAGGTGAGCGAGGGAGATGATACTGACGATGACCTTGAAAAGGAGAATGAGGATGTCAGTAACTCGGGTAGTGTAAAGCCGCGTTACGAGCGGTGTACAAAAATTGACAAGTTACAAAAGGCGATTGAGTCGCCTGATGAAGACTGGGATGAATTTGACCGATCAGCTAGTATAGAGAAACTTCAAAGCAATCTGCAGCATAGCCCAGGTGGGGGCTGGGAGTTCTGAGGCAGTGTGTAGGGGCACCAGACAATCCTAGGGATCCCTATCAACTGAGGCAGTATGGCAACGTTTAGAGCCACAATGTGGAGAAGGGCAACAGTTACGGCCCCTAAAGGAGAAGGGCAACAGTTACGGCCCCTAAAGGAGAAGGGCAAATGTTATGGCCCCACAAAGATGAGGGCAATAGTTACAGCCTCCAAAAGAGAAGTGGCAGCCCTGACTCAGGGCTAGCATGGAAGCCGCCAAGCCTATTGGGGTATATAGGTAGGGGGGCTTGCCCAGTGCCAGTAAGCCGGGGAGCTATAGACGTCAATCTCAGTGATTCTACAACAGTATTTCCTGGAAGGGTAGCTTAATCTATTTTTATACAAAGATACTTTTTATACCTTTTCACTACAAAATCAATGTATACCTACAGTTACCTGTTATCTGTGTTGTAGGCTCGTTTTTATCTGTCACTTATTACTCTGTCAACGGTGAGTGTATGTGTGTGTGAACCAGCAATTTTTGGTGCAAATATATGGAAGACTAGGCTGCTATGGCTATAGGCGTCCCACTAGGACGGGCATGCTCGTGTTCCATAGGAACCTGCAGTGACAATGGAAATGATTTGGGGCTACCCAGGATGGAGAGTTGATAGATATTGTGCGGTGGTATGGTTACTCTGGAGCCGTGGTTGGCTCGCAGCAAGACGATAACAGTACATGTGTTCAAACCCTAACACGGTTAGCTCTTTGCTTTATGTCATTTTTGTTTATTCTTTTTTTTTGTTTATACTATTTTGACACAAAGATGTTTCTATTATATACAATTGTTGTTGATTAACACTGGTTCTGTAGGCCTGTATACGGTAGAGGAACGGCCAGCAGGCCGTAGCGTGTTCAGAACTGGTCTTGCGACTGGTCGCGGTAGTGTGTTCAGCGCCGGCTACGGTAGTTGTCTAGTCGCGACGTGTTCAGAGTGAGAGGTTTTGTTGGAACTCTTTATTAAACAATGTGTGTAAAAATACATAAATTGAGTGCAATATTTCAGGGTTGCAATGAATTTGAAACATTAATATGAAGAAAAAAAACAATTTTGCAAAAAGAAATTGCTCAATTTTTGTGGTAGAAACTGTGGACTACACACTATGACAGCTGACAGAGGGCTGTACGAGAGGTGCTATATATGTGTGTAGACAGTGCTCAGGCACAACAACATTTTAATAGCTAATAGCCAAAGTATAAGGAATTAGTAGCTTCACATTTACACGTATTCTTGTGCTAGCCAAGTGCGTGAGCATTGTTAACCGGCTCGGTTGTTGAACGTTAAAGCGAGAGCCGACACCTGTTTTGTATATAGTCAGTTGCTCATGCTCAGTTGTGCATTTTATCCGCAGATTTTTCCAAAAAAAAGGCATTTTGGACTATTCTTCATTTTTTTTTTTTTTTACAATTATTGTTGTTGTGTTACAGTAATGGTAAACCATTACATGTATTTGTGAATTGAAAGTCTTGTTAAATATTTTTATATTTGATTGATTATTAGAATTTTTGCCAAAGTCTGTAATGTGTGGCTCTACCGGTGGTACGTGGGGCGATTAGCCATGCGGTCACCATTCATGCTAACTTCAGTATTTAGCCTGAGGTCGTCAGTGGGCGACGGTCAGTTACCATTTCACTTCGCCTGTCGGTCAGTTTATTGTCATTTTTAAAACGTTTATACATAAGACTGTGTGTTTGTGTGAATGCTGTATCGGACAAGTACCTATTCACCTTATTGTTCCTTCATCCCTTAGTACCTCAGATATCTCTTCTTCTCAAACTAGTACATTTACGATCTAGATCAGTTTACTGATAGTGCCTGTGGGGATGGACAAGTCTAATGCATTCTGGATCGGTCCATTGTTACCCGTCAGGCTGATCTGGACCTGTCCATTGTTGTCCATAGGGTTGATCTGGACAGGTCCACTGCTGCCTGCAGAGCTGATCTGGATTAGTCCATTGCTGCCCATGGGGCTGATCTGGACCGGTCCACTGCTTCTGGATCAGTCCATTGTTGTCGTTGACTGAGCTTGACCGGTCTATGTGGATATTAGGTACATGGGTACAGCACATCGTGAAATGAGCGTAATCAAATCGTGATAGATGTTATCACATGACACAAGCACACACCTCAATTTAATAGGCAGTTCAGAGTGACCTCTCTCAAAGGTCAACCTGTGAATGACCTATGTCAGAGTTCAACTTGAAAAGACCTGTAGCCAAAATTGACTCATGGTGGACCTTGTTACAGGTCAACTGATGATGACCTGTGTCAAAGGTCAAATCATGGCTGTGCATAGTTTTTGCCCTGTTATAATTTTCCCTTAAGTTTACCTTTTAAATTTGCTATAAACAATCAAATGTTCATTTTAAGAAAATTTGTTGAGAATGTATGTGCCATGTTGGCATATAACGTTTTTGTGATTTCGAACTTTTTAAGTACATTACAAGGCAAAGAAATGTACAGCTGATTTGAAAAAGAGGCTTACTTTTTTCCCTCTTTTATCAAGACACCCTGTCAGTGTTGAATCTACAAAGTGTAAATCAAAAATGTATGTTTATGATATTTGTTAGGGTTAGAGGCTTCTTATCGAGGTATGTACAGTGTACGGTGATCCGGGTCGTACGCGATCGCCCACCTCCTTACAGTGTACGGGAGGGTGATCCGGGTCGTACGGGAGGGTGATCCGGGTCGTACGGGAGGGTGATCCGGGTCGTACGCGATCGCCCATCTCCTTAATAGGCTCAGAATTACCCCAAGTTTGAGGACCTAATAGTAAATCAGTTTAGATTAACAAAGGACAATCTTTACAGACAACAACAACAAAAAGTCCAGCGTTGATTTCTTTTGATTGATGATTCTTTTTAACATTCAAAACTAACCAAACTTGATTTTTACAAAAATGAAAGTCTCACTTCACTGCCATGAAACCTTGGCGTAGTCCGAGGTCAGAAACATCTACAATGATACCCTTAGGTAAATGTAGAACTGAAATAAAACGCCTACCCATATTTCTACTAAGGCTACATGTTACCACACTGAAACTGGCACAATCTAAACAGAAAAGTTACCCTGCAAGAAGTTTCCAGAACACCCAGGTTTAATGTATAAGGCCACTTATAATATATTAGGTTCATTGTATGTAGGGATGCTGAGGCCCCCCAAGTTTTCCCGTCACTGTATCCTGGCCTCGTTTCTCCAGTGCCTACCACAGAGTCTGTACATACTTGTGAGATAGTGAGATACCACCCTGTGCAATAGGTATCTGTTTGTTTGCTGTTTTCATGTGAACTTTATAGATGTATAGAGAAATAAGCATGTTTTATCATTATGTTTACTTATTCAGTGCTAATAAATAATATGCAATGTTTGATGTGAAATTTCTCACCCGTCACTTGATACTTCGTCTGCTTAAAAGGGTGAACTGAAAAAATAGAGTATTTATTCCACGGCCTTCTTTTAAATAGACATTTATTATGTCACTTGTTTTCATATAATTGTTTAGAATCTCTCTTAGTTAGATTTGAACTTTTTTAAGAAATAAAAAAAATAAAAAATCAGATAAATTTCATACTGATGTGAAAAGTTACACCAAGTCAACGTGAAACCTTGTACTGATACTATGTTGTAAAGTTGTATTAAGATATAATACTGGTAGAGATGTCGTAAAACATTTGTCCCCAATTAGTCATTTGGCTTATTACACTGCTGAATACAACAAAAATGCAAATATTCAGTGAAAGAAATTTATCTTTGTCGTTTAACTAACAAAGTGTTCAGAGGCGGTGTGAGAAATGTTCTCGTCATTATTACTGCCATCGAGGTACAGACAATTTATCATGTTACTTTTAGCATTTTTGTAATTATAAAGATTTTAACCAAAGAAAATTTAATCTAATGATGTAGTAGTTGAGATATATATCTATATATATATATATGTACATAGTCGGGTGGGAGTTGTCTCCCCTTTCGCTGCAATATTTTTATGTAGGATGATTTTGATGATTTTGTATATTTTGTTTACTGAATGTTAACAGTGCAATTTGTTTAAGTTTGAGTAGGATAACTTTCCCTGACATCAAAAATTGTGTCTGCAGTCTGTCACTATATTCCCCTGTTTATGTGCAATCCACGTTTATAGCGTTAAGCCAAATGTTTTATCTTATTTCTAGACAGCTCAGATTTTTATCACAATTGACGCCAAATTTTGCTTTAGTAAGATTTTACTGTGGGGTAGGACATTTTAAAACTTTTTACCTTACCAGTTTGTTCAGTGGTAGAACATCAACTTTTTACCTTACCAGTTTGTTCAGTGGTAGAACACAACTTTTTACCTTACCAGTTTGTTCAGTGGTAGAACACAACTTTTTACCTTACCAGTTTGTTCAGTGGTAGAACATCAACTTTTTACCTTACCAGTTTGTTCAGTGGTAGAACATCAACTTTTTACCTTACCAGTTTGTTCAGTGGTAGGAAGATCTAATGTGACAGAATTAGACTGGTTTTACTACCATAAACATACAGGTCCCCGGGACGTGACATAATTAGACTGGTTTTACTACCATAAACATACAGGTCCCCGGGACGTGACAGAATTAGACTGGTTTTACTACCATAAACATACAGGTACCCGGGACGTGACAGAATTAGACTGGTTTTACTACCATAAACATATAGGTCCCCGGGACGTGACAGAATTAGACTGGTTTTACTACCATAAACATACATGTCCCCAGGGCGTGACTGAATTAGACTGGTTTTACGACCATAAACATACAGGTCCCCGGGACGGGACAGAATTAGACTGGTTTTTCTACCATAAACATACAGGTCCCCTGGACGTGACAGAATTAGACTGGTTTTACTACCATAAGCATACATGTCCCCAGGGCGTGACTGAATTAGACCGGTTTTACGACCATAAACATACAGGTCCCCGGGACGGGACAGAATTAGCCTGGTTTTTCTACCATAAACATACAGGTCCCTGGGACGTGACAGAATTAGATTGGTTTTACTACCATAAACATACAGGTCCCCGGGACGTGACATAATTAGACTGGTTTTACAGCCTTAAACATACAGGTTCCCAGGACGTGACAGAATTAGACTGGTTTTACGACCATAAACATACAGGTCCCTGGGACGTGACAGAATTAGACTGGTTTTACTACCATAAACATACAGGTCCCCGGGACCTGACATAATTAGACTGTTTTTACTATCATAAACATACAGGTCCCCGGGAGGTGATAGAATTAGACTGGTTTTACTATCATAAACATACAGGTCCCCTGTGATGGTTCCTCATCTAACAAATTTTACTTTATTATGGTTTGGTAGATAGGTATGTAGACTTCCGAGGGTAAAAGATAATTCAGCAATATTTACAACTTGTTATTAGGAATTTTATAGGGTAAAGTTTCTGACGTTACTGTTGAGTCTGGTGAAGACTGTTCGGTGTACTTCCCAACAGCTGTATTTGTTTTTATGAAATATGGTTTACTTCAATCCTACTTGTATCAATTTCACCTGTGACTTCCGTATTTGGATTTCACCTATGTTAATCACCTGTTTTTCTTCACCTGTTTCTCCCCTTATTTCTCCCCAGAGGTGTTTTTTCACAAGGGTCTGATTTTGGGTTCGGGTAGATATAGACCAGTAACTGCAAGAATGGTTAAAGCTTTAATTTTCTGAAAATTTATGGAAATCCATGCAATAAAGTCTGGGTTTGTTTAAAAAAGATTGTTGACAATCGTAGTGATATATTCCCCGATACATCTACTTATCTCCCCCTTGCTTCCCTCTCCTGGTTACCTCCCCTTGGTGCCAGCCCTAGTATTGCCGCAATTGTTCTATCGTGACAAGTTAAAATACTGTAGTATGTTCGTACTAGTAATCTATGTAAACCATTTTCTTGTGATGTCCGCCAGAAATTCCCAGACTGTAAGATATCCCCCAACATTATAATGTATTTACCAAAAAATATTTTATTTGTAAAATTACTGATATTCTGCCATTTTGGTTTTCATGTTTACATGGAAGCTACCTGATAGGAGGGTGTTACAGCCCCTCCTGCCCACTGTACAGTGTCCTGAGGAGTGACCAGTGGCGGTCTGGACACCCTGTTTGTTATGTAAGTGTAGTCGGCCACTATATGCTACTGACCAAAGGAGAGTTTTGATAGCTTCTTGCTTTATTGAGGAGTCATAATAGTAATAAGTTCATTTTCATTTGATTTGCATTTTTTTTTTGTTATATACATGTGTTAATAGCTGCATTTGTTAATCCTCAACCCGCTACAGTAAATTTATATGATCTAGTTATATCTCCAAATCCTTCATGTCTTTGATTTTCCTTTTATGTTATATCCTAGAGAAGTGACACAAACTACTAGGGTTGAATAGCAAGCGATTTCGGGGGTAAAACTCTGAGAATATTGTGGCTTGTTAATCACCTCCCTATCTATGTATCAGTATATAAATAACTATATATATGCTCAAAGTCTTATAGAGTGACCCAAAGAAATGTATATATGATAGATATATATATATATGATTATACTCGCTACATAACAAATGGTATGTTAGAATGATTATTTTTCTACAATAAACTTCTATGATGTTAATCAAAGTGATGTTATATTGCTAACACCTGTACGGTTACCTGTCGGGTGTACCTCGACACAAACAATAGCCTTCCCCACTCCCTCACTTTCTCCACAGCTCTTTCTCTTGCCTCATCATAGATTTGAAAAAATATATCTTTTTCAAAATCCAAAAGCTTCTGTTTCATAAAACAGTTCAACTTAGATTGTTTTCCTGAACTGAAATTTACCCACAGAATGTATTGCCTTACCTAAAGGGAAACCTCGACCCAGTATGATGTCGGTCAATGAAATTCAAAAAATCGGTCAAAATTTTAAACTGGATTTTATTCAATTTTAATGTATTAACAGCAATTTAATTCAATTTCAGATTAAATTATATTGCATGTATTAAAAATAAGTTTTTGAAATAAATAGGCGAAAATAGGTGAACTGTTTATTGGTCATGTTACATTACAAATATCCAGATACTAACTTATAATTGAAATATTCGAGGAGACGTTGGTGAATACAGGAACATGTCTTTTAATAGAAGACGAAGATGTCTATAAATAGATTTGGGAAATGTTTATAATAAATGTAGGAAGAGGTCCATAATAGAAGACAGATGTCTATAAATAGATTAGGTCCTTTTAAGGGGTATTGTTGAAGGGATATGTCTCTATTAATAGAATTAAGGAGCTGTGGAGCGGTGAATTTTCCTTGATCTTTTCTACAACTTTTTTGTGAATGTGCACTGTCTTTTTAACCCTCACAGATACTATGATCAGTTTTTATACAGAGATTTTATTTTATTTTAAGATTTTAATCATTTTTAATGCAAGAGAAATGACACAAAACTTTGTATGGTGTGAATCCGACGTAATGACGTAAACACTTTGTACCAATGCATTTTGATTTGATCAAATAAACATATTAAAAATAATGGTGGCTGTCACTTTTAGGTTGAGGAAATGATTGTAGTTGTTGTTTTCATTTTCATTTGAATTGTTTTCAATTTTAATAATAAAGGTTGTATGTAAGTGACGTAATTCATTGTCACACTTCAAAAACTCGCCCGGTTATATGTGGACTATATCGTTAGAGGATGTGAATTTTTGTACGACCCTCTCCCTTTTATGAGTACGGAGCCTCAATGTGAGAACCTACTCGTCACCATAGTGACACAACCATTAAATATAAACCAGGAGTGCTATATTTAGAACTATTTGCCATTTTTTTGTGGTTTTGACGCGACTTTACAAATTGTTATTATTGCATGATCTAGACCTATTAATGAATATATGTATTACAGCAATGATTTTTTTCTCTGGTATTTACCAACAAACTCTGCTATTTTCCGATACTGTCTTTTTGACTTCAGCCCTTTCTGTGCTTAATTTGTACAAGGTACACAAGAAAACTTTTTTCTCATCTCTGTTTTTTGTGGATTTTAATCGTTGGTGGGACGACGTTCCCAGGTGTTTAATTGTTGGTGGAACAGCGCCCCCTGGTGTCAAACGTCATCAGCGTAAGACGTCGGACCACAGTTTTGGTGTATCTAGTCCGATTGAAAGGGATGTATCAGCGCATTTAACTTTTTCCATGTTATAAGTAATTACAGCTATACACAGTTGATTATTATTTTATACTCTAGGTGCTTCAACACTGGAATAAAAACATTGTATATCATTTCTGTGTGTTATGTTGTATGTTACTTACATAGTATAGAATAACAAAACACATCAAAATGACCTGTCATTTTGACCTTTGTGTGGAATATTCATGTTTGGCAATTGCATTTTATTTCCAGGTATGCTCATCTGTTCAGTACATTAAAAAGGTCACATTAACTAAGTCATATACACTTAAAATACGTCACATGAACTAGGTCATATACACTTTAAATAGGTCACATTAACTAGGTCATATACACTTTCAAAAGGTCACATTAACTAGGTCATATACACTTTAAATAGGTCACATTAACTAGGTCATATACACTTTAAATAGGTCACATTAACTAGGTCATATACACTTTCAA